TTTAATGCATCCGCCATACAATCCGGACTTGGCACCAAGCGATTATCATCTTTTTCTTGCATTGCAAAATATCTTTAGTGATAAAAAATTGGAATCTAGGGAGGATTGTGAAAATCGACTACTAGAGTTTTTTGCATATAGAGACCAGGACTTCTATGAGAGAGGCATTTTGAAGTTACCTTTAAAATGGCAAAAAATCATACAACAAAACGGTGCATATTTGACCCAAATCGGACAATCCGAAGCATGTTAAATAAAGTCCTGAAGTTCATAAAAAAATAATGGATTTCTTTTTCCCCAAACTAATATTTGTGCTCAACTTTTACTCTGCCAGCATTATGTGCAGTAAATTTATTGATTTGGAAAAAAATCTCTGCAAATGCAAATAAACTTGATTAATGTGTGATTCAACAGCAATTTCCCTACGTTTGGTCTCACATGCATTAATTTCCCTTTCGTTCGTTATCGCATTAACAAAAACTGGAACAGAAGGCTAATATGAATGCTATGCGCTGCTTGTGTATAGAGCCGTGTCAATAAAACTCGACATAGATAAGCTAGATGAAAAGCTGAGATTATATATTTTACAGAAATTCTTAATCAATGACTGCGAGTTTGTTTTGCTTGCAAACAAACCCACAAAAAAAAAAAAAACCTAGTAAGGATACTATATGCGGTTGCGATCGAATCTTTTATACCCATCACAGTTATCCTATCACAGATTAAACAAAAGGAAACAAAATAAATTTGCATATTTCATTAGATTGGCGTGGTGGGCGTGGTGGGCGTGGCTGATTTTTAATATTTTTGTAGAATAATTTTATGGAAATTTATATTGTGTAAATGGTGTAGTTGATGAGTAAAGAGCAAAAGATACGCAAACCGAAAGTGTTCTTAGTTTACGGGATACTGCGTGTGTGTCGTTCGACCGATTTGGCTCATTTTCAACACTAACTTGCGTGCAAGAATTTCCAAATGTTTCTGCATTACATAGACGGACAGATTGACAGCCAGACATGCTTAAGTCGATTTAGAATTTGATGATAATCAAGAATATATATATATATGCTCTAGGGTGTCTCTGAAGCGTCTTTCTGGTAGTGCATTACATTCTCCAAAGTGTGAATGTTGACTATTTAGCACTCACGATAGGAAATGTATATAAATAATAAGTTCTTGCATGTATTGTGATCATTTTCTTATCGAAGAGGCATTTAGTGGTACAATATAAGAAATCAAAATATTTTCCATCCTTTTCTACAAAATGTGACCATCTTCCTGGCAATATGGCGATACCGCCATGTCAGCGATCCAATTATCAATCTTACACTTCGCACCTTTTCAGCATTTCGAAACCGCATGGCAGTCAAGCCAAGCTGCATCGATCTAAACCAATGCTACTCAGAAGCCGGTATGTTAGGTGAGTACGCTGACTGCGGCAGAATTTCCCGTTCGAGCGGCAACAATGCATCGTTCACAACTCTTCCAAGGTGTGCCGAGTGGTGTCATGCAAGAAGATGACTTAGCGTTTGTTAACCGCTATTGTTGATCTTTTTTGCACCAACACATCGCTCAGTTTGTCCAGTTGACGTCGATAGACATCTGTAGCAACAGCTGTGCTCGGTTTTAGCAGCTCATAATACGCTACACCTTGCCGCTACCACAGGAAAATTTTATAGCCATGAATATTTCGCTTCGGTATCGATGTGGATGGCTCGCCTGGAGCCTTTCGCTTGGGATTACCGTAGTAGACGCAATATGTCATAGAACGATTATCTTTTTTGCCTGGCAAGCAATGAAACATCGATGTTGAAACGGATTAGATTGGCGGTGTCAGTCAGTAGTCGTATGGTAACTATTTTTTTTCGTTTTTGGATTTTTTCCGTCGGATGTCATCGTCGAGAAAGAGTTAATCCATCGACTGTTGGGCTCTTCTTTTGAACGTTTTTGGTCCTTCAGCCAAATTCACCAATCGTAAAGCAAGCCGAGAATTGGGATATGATGGGCCAGCTTCACCATAAGTTTCGGCAGCAGATTTCTTCAAATCAAACAACATCAAACAAAAAAGTAAACGAATCGCGATTCAATTTTGAGCATTCCATGACTGGCGTCGGTCTACATTTTGCGTGTGTACCTCTCAATATCTAAGAAAGCAATGTAGGCTCGAATTGATTTGCATACACTCCGACAGTTAAACTGCTCTAAAAAACTTGTAAGGGCATATAATAATATCAAGGTTAAAGGTTGGGGTGCCTTCCAATCTTCAACGAACACGGCATAGCAAGGTGCAGCTAATTTATGGTATCGAAGGTAACGGTAGAACCAAATAGTTCAGCGAAAAAGCAAATCTGAAGAACTGTAACGGGCGTGGAGAATTTCTGCAACATATCAAGAGTCAAAGATCAACAAGCCAATGGAAGCATAGCGAAGGTTATAGGCAAGAAAAAAGTTGTTTAGTAATCCCGGCATAGCACAAAAGTTAGTGGAATTATGAAGGAGGAGCATACCAGGCGGTCGCTGGCTCCTTCAGGCACCCTATGAAGAATGTAGATAACTCAGATATCGAGATCATGCCGATTCGTGTTTGGCAAACACTTCATAAGTCTGAGCTTAGCACAGTGTTCCGAGCCAAGGAAAGTGTCGGAACTCATACGAATACTAAAGCTTGAGGTGTATGGACGTGAATGACCATGGATTGGATGGATATGGCTAAGTAAAGTCCCTTATATACTTCTATGCAAGTAGTGTGTATTTTACGGAGTTTCTCGCTGGCATTTCCAAGTGTTCAAACGATATAAAAAAATTGAGTACAAGCTTTGCGAAACAATGCTATTTTTCATAAAAGTGTATTCCATTTAAAAACTATTCGACTTTGAATTTCTGATTTTACCCTTATCATAAGATTTTTTTTTTTTTTTTTTGAACAAATCACACCACAATGTGACGGTCACCCACTTATGAGAATCTTGGGAATAATTAAAAGTTATGGTTTTTGTTTATAGTTGAAATTCATTTTGTGAATATAAAATATTATGCAGAGGCCATATATATATATATTTTAAATTTTTTGATTTTGATCTATAGAAAAAAGGAAAAACTTTTAAAAGATAAGAAAAAATTCATTGGTTAGTGCAAGTTCTATATAAACTTTGATTCAATATATAGCACATAAAGAAATTATCGAACGAGATATGGCGGTTACTGCTCTAAAATTGTTGTGCCATAGTTCTTCAACGCATTTTCTCCGTGCAAATTTTTGAGTCGATTAGGTGCTTTCTGTCCAAGATAAGGGACTACTTTTTGTCTCTGTGACTCTTACGCATATCAGGGAAACGAATTTTGAAAAGTGAAATCAATTTTGACATCATGACTAAATCCAAATTTGCAAAGAATTTAATCTCAAAGTTGAAATGAGCCTTAAAGACTCGGCGTAACAAGATTTACCGTTAAATCATATATGAAACGAGAGTTTTTCGTAAAACTACTTTAAATAAACTCGCAAGTTGCGGTCTTAGTGCTTAGTGCTAGTGTACTTAAAAGCTCCCCTCTTTAGCGAATTTATTATTTGGGAAAATTATTTAACTGGAATCAACTTCGGATTTGGGGATTTCCGTAACAATATTAATCAATACCTGAATGATCCATGAGTACCTAAAAAGTATTTTGCTTATCATATTCGCTAATAATTCATATGCGAAATATTAACATTTCATTATTAAGGTCTAGGTGAAGGTGAGGCTCCATATATTGGGCAAATAGATTAGAAGACAGCTGAACAGATCGATAAAATGAAGCCGATTAAGACGCATCGATCAATCCATTTATTGGCTATGTTTCATGGTACACGCGGGAAGGACAAATTCTATTTTTGGCAATGGGTATAAAAGTAATTTAAAGTGTGGCTGAAGCGTTTCAACTTTTAACGGATTCGTAGTGGGAACTTTTTTTTGCATTATAACTTTCCGGATTGTTTACGAACAATATTTGGGAGGACTTCTTTCGGGGAGATTTAAAGGATCGCATTTGAATTTTGTGTAGCTTCATAAAGGTGAATAAGGAAATTATTATAAAAATTTGTATTTTCAAATACGTTTGCTATTAATACTGCGCCACTTGTGGTAAAATGTCATATTAAGTTTATACGGATGTATGCAACACTGAAAACGACTCGAGCTAGACCCACCTTTCATAGTATCCATCGATTCAGAATCACTTTCTAAATTTCAATCTTAGATTTATCTATCCATCTGTCCGTCTTGTTTTCTTGCGCTGACACTACAGGCAGTAAGCCTATCCTTTCGACTATGGATCGGATCAATTTTCCAACTAATTCTTAATTTTGAAAAGTCATTATATGAATAATTATATGGCCTATGGTATTTAATAGTGTATCGTGGCTAACTAGAATATTTCTTTATATTTCTTTATTTATATAGGATTTATGAGAACACGATAAGGCTAAAACTTTCAAAAAATTATATTAAAAATTTCTTCAATAGATCTGCACGCACTTAAATGACTTTACTGCCGTACAAATGCTTTCATTCAAAAATATTTTTATGCGTTTATAGCCGCAAAAAATCTTCAACAACACTTACTCAAGTTAAAATAGTTGAAGTTTATTTGCCTCACGAAATCGTTCGAATATTTGAAACATTTAACCATTTAACCATTTAACCATTTAAGCAATTCAAATATATTTTGAAGGTAAGAGAGGGAATTTTTTAAAAACTTTTTCTTCATCCATTCATTGTATTATATATATAAATATCTATATATATAAAATGCAATTTGCATAAGCAAAACTTTTACTAGTTTTACACAGTAATGCAAACTTGGTAGACAGACACAATCAAATTTATATTTTATTCAAGTAAATCATACTTGGTCTTAGTGGTATTTTAATGGCTATAAAAATGTAATTGTTTATTAAATACTGAAAATAAAAAAAAATTAAAAATTCGAATAATAAATGTTTGATTGTTTTTCTGATTTTTTAGTGGAGGAAGATATTCAGGAGAAGGCTTCAACGTGCGAAACGCTTTTAATATTTCTTTCAATAGCGTTAATCATTTTAACACTGCCCTTCAGTCTATTCGTATGCTTTAAGGTAAGCCCTTATCATACATATTAACAAAATTTTCGATTATGATCTTGATTAACACTAAAAAAAAAAAAAAAAACAAAAATTGATTCAAGGTAGTGCAAGAATATGAACGAGCGGTAATATTTCGCTTGGGTCGTCTAATGCAAGGTGGCGCCAAAGGTCCAGGTTTGTAATTTCGTAAAACAATCCATTTTTCATAATCAATTTTTTTTTTGAAATTTTTTTCTCTTTTTTCAACAATTTTTTAGGCATCTTTTTTATAATGCCTTGCATAGATTCGTACGCTCGTGTTGATTTGCGTACCCGAACTTATGATATACCACCACAAGAGGTATTACAACAATAAATTTTACATACACCTACCTACCTACCTACCTACCTACCTACCTACATGTCCATATAGTTAACGAAAAAATTGAAATATGTTTAACAAAATTTTATTAATTGTTCTCCTCCGACTGGCATATCGATGTATAAAAGAGCAGTAGCATAAAAAGCATAATTCAATTTGCAATCTCTTCTACTATTTCAAGAAGAAAAAATGAGAAAAAAAAAACACAAAAAATAAAACAACAAAAAAAAATTAAAATGAAGATTTACTGAAGATTTAATTGTCTATCTGGCTGCATGTAATTAAGTTTATTACATCACTCTATATATATATATATACATATATATGCATTCGCTGTTGTTTTCTCACCGTCTGTCTGTATGTGTTTATTATTTCGTTAGGTTTTAACCAAGGACAGCGTTACGGTATCTGTTGATGCTGTGGTCTATTATCGTGTTTCGAATGCAACCGTCTCCATAGCGAATGTGGAAAATGCTCATCATTCAACTCGTCTCTTGGCACAAACAACTCTACGAAATACAATGGGAACGCGGCATTTGCATGAGATTTTAAGCGAACGTGTTTCCATATCGGGCACAATGCAGGTAAAAAGAAGAAAAGAAAAACAAAAAAAGAAACCAAATAAGAAAAAATTTTAAATACATTAATTGCATGTTCTATATTAAGAATTTTTATGATGCTTTCGTGGCTGTTGTCAAAATATTTCACTCATTATTCATAAATTATTTGATTAAGTTGAGGCTTGAAACCGTCGTGCCATTTAGAACAAGAGTTGTCACATCCTACTCGCCTCCCTGCTTTCTGGTTTATTTTTATATTCTTTCGCCCTCCATTATCAATGGATTTTCTGTTCCCGTCATTTTTCCACTCTTTGACACACACACTTTTGAGCATTTGAGTTTCACTTCCCCGATTGTTTTGCTTAAAAAGCAAATCATCCCAGCCTTATAGATGGGAAAGTTTTACTTTTAATCGCCAAAACGAACGCAGCTTAATTGTTGCATTTTTTGCGGCCCTTAAGTAGATTTGAATGTTTATCGTAATCGTTTATAATCGTTGCAGTCCGATATAGTCCAGAAAATTCCGGTAGTAATTTGAATAACTTTAATGATTATATATTTAATGACACTATACCTACGGAGATATCCGTTCAACTAATCGGTCGCGTCGATTATAATAAAGTTAAGCTAAATTTTCTATTTTTCTTAACTTAACTTACACCTGAAAGAAACTGAGTAGCCTTGGCTTCGATTTAATTTTTTCGCTTTACAAGAATTTCAAATTTTGGAAAACTAAATTCGAAAATCTAAATGCTAAGCAAGAGCTGGCTAAAGCTTGGCTTACGATATGACGAAGTTTTTGGCTATGACTTTTAACTAACTTTAAGTGAAGGACATTCAATCGAATTGGGGTAATTTATTCCCATTTACTTTATTTTTATACCCATCATCGATGGATGAGGGGCATAAAAATTATTTTGTCAAAACTTTTGCAACGCCCAGGAGGGAGCATCAGGTGTAAACATTCTCCTGGCCGCAAGAATGAGGCTATCAATTTAAAATTTGGCAAAAACGTTGGAAGTTCTTACACACAGGCTGGTGTTGAAAGTGGGCCGTCTGTCCACCTGTGTAATGTTTATTGTACACATTCCTTCGGCTTGGCCTATCGACTTAAAACATTGGCAGAAACATTGGAAGTCCTTGCACAACAGGCTGGTATTGAAAATGGGCCAAATCAATCTACGAACAAGCCCACAGCATCACGTAAACTGAGATAACCTATGTTTTTTAAAAAAGAATTAAAAAAAATTGATTTTTCGCTCATTACTTATAAACAAAAATTTGAACGCATTTGATGCTGTGGAAAGAAATTTACCACGCCTATCCAACATTATAGCGCATTAAAATTTAATTTTTCCAATACCTTTATAACGCACAAACACAATCCCGTCAAGTAGACAAATCCTTGGCCAGTTGCAGATTGGAAATACACCTCAATATATCCGTCTGCTCGTGTATTCATCTATCCGTTTACCCAACTTCGTGGTATCCGTGGTAGCGATTCTACCGTTAGCGAAAATGAAGATATGAAGAAGAAACGTTTATTTTAAAAACAGGAAAAAGCAGCCTCGCCCATTCCATATTATAGAGCGTGAAATCTTTAACTTTATAATAACTTTTGGATTTTAATTTGAAAGGCGAGTAGGAAAACTATATTTGTTCGTGACCGGTCCTTTTGTACCCATCGCCGTCACCTTAGAGAGAAACCAAAACAAGTAAAGAGCTAAATTTACATGCATGAAGAATTTTTTATTCCTATTGAAAAACAGAGGCGTTTTCAGTTCACAACGTAGTGTGGCGCGTGTGCTTCAACCGATTTGGCCCATGTTCAGTACCAATCTGCGAGTAAGAACTTCCAATATTTCTGTCAAATTTGAAGTCAATAGCTTTATTGTTACGTCCAGGTAAATGTTTACAATACACATTACTCAGACGGACGGATGAACACTCTTAAATTGATTCAGAATATGATGATGATCAAGAATATACGTACTTCTGGGCGCTACAAACATTTTGACAAGTTAATGTTATGGGCATGAAGGAACGGTTATAGCATGTGCTGAAAACGGCACACGTCACTGCGGAACAGTTCTGGATGCGAAGAAAAGTGCCAGTGCGTATCAGTCCGGTATTATCAGACAATGTGGAGAGAATATCAATAAAAAAATAATTTTTTTTTTTTTTTTTTTTTTTTTTTTTTAGAATATGAAAGTTATGTCGAACCTTTTTACAAAATAAACAAGTACGAAAATGTTAATCGGTCCTGACCGAATCTTTTATATCCATCATCATTTTCCTAAAAAAAAAAAAAAAAAAAACTAAATTTCCATACCTTAAGGCATTGGCCTGGCCGTTCCCAGGGGTGATGTTTCCTTTTTTCAGAATAAAAGTGGAAAAGTTGCATGATGTATCTGTTGCGTTTTTATGAGTAACGAGCAAAAAACGCAGAAAGCACTGGTGTTCACAGTTTTTTGTTGCCTAGGCATGTAAGCGTCTCCTTTGACCGCTTAAGATTACTTTTAAAGACTTGTTGTCATTGATGTCCATTTCTGCGGACGGGAAATATTAAACAGACGGATGAACGGATATGTTTAAATCGATTCAGAATTTGACGCTGATCGAGGATATATAATCACTGCACTTTGTTTCTGGGCGTTGCAAATCCCTCCACAAAATGAATATATCCCTTATCCTTCCCTTATCCGATGGGTATAGAAAGAAAGAAAATTTCAATTTATAAATATTTCGAAAAATATAAAACATATATAGAACTCATTCATACCTATAGATATATGCAAGTTAATGCTGGGTATTATAAAATCTAATCCAAGCCCACTATACAATTGTTATATTTTAATTTTTTCGAAGATCACTTTTGTAACTCGTACTAAATATTGACTTGAAGCATTATCGGTTCATAATTAAATAATGATAAAAAAAAAAAAAATAATAAAATATTAATTTTTGATATTTTTGTTTTTTCTAAGAATATTTTATGAAATATTTTAATTGTTTTAATTCGAACAATCCCGTAATAATTTCCTTTCTTTTAAATTTTTCAGCTGCAATTAGATGAGGCCACCGATGCTTGGGGTATTAAGGTTGAACGTGTTGAAATGTAAGTAAAGAAGAAAGAGAAAAACAAAAAAAAAAAAAAAAACTTGGAAAATCACAATCAATCACAGTATTATACACTTGGCCTTACATAGTGGGCAAGCGTTGGCAAATCTGTTCACTTTTTTTCATGCAATATTTTTTTCGCCTTCTGTTTCGTTTCATTGGCTTCATTTATTGTTTGCCGTTTTTAAGTAAGGACGTACGTTTACCGGTGCAATTACAGCGCGCCATGGCCGCTGAAGCTGAGGCAGCACGAGAGGCTCGCGCTAAAGTTATAGCTGCCGAGGGCGAGCAAAAAGCATCGCGTGCTTTACGCGAAGCTTCAGAAGTAATAGGGGCTTCACCGGCTGCACTGCAATTACGCTATTTACAGGTAATTCTATTAAGAATATTTCACGCCAAAAAAAAAAAAAAAAACAGAAGAGAATAAATTGTCAATAATTTATTTTTAGACACTAAGTGCCATCTCGGCAGAAAAAAATTCGACCATTGTATTTCCAATGCCAATTGATTTAATAACATATTTCTTGAAATCGAATGATGCTGCCACACAACAACTAGCTGAAGCTGCCATTGCTGCCATGGACGCCACTGATAAACAGAAAACAACTGAAACTGAAAAAACTTCATAAACAACTATTTATTATTTATTACTTATATTTATCTAATAGAATAATATTTTCTTCAAATATTGCGCTTGAAATACCTCAGAAAATGCTATTAGATAATAATAATTGTAACAGTTTAATGTAATTAGCATTAGTTAATTTATAGTATTAAACTAATTGAAAAAACTTTCATTCAATTATTTTTGAAACTTGAAAAATATTCTCTATATTATCACTATCACTTTTTCGCTCTATCTCTCGTACTCTTTAAATTAAAAAATGTCTTTAACAAAAATTCTTATAAGAATCAATAAACTTAGTTTGAAAATCTGCTTAGCTTTACTATATATATATATATATAGATTATCGCTCCATTGCTACAGTAATCAGACCAATCTTAAAAATATCGAAAAAAAAATAAAAACAATTAGATATATATACATACATACATACATACATACAAATATATGCATTTATATACATACGCACTCACATATGTATACGTACATATTTGTTTGTTTGTTATAGCTGTGTATGTATATGTATATATATATATGTACATAGTTAAGTAAAAAGTTTATCTCTCTTATTTTAGAACAATGCTACAAGATTTCTTAACTATCGATTATGTTTTACGAATAAAAATATTCAATATTTTATCTCTAAAATATTCTCTTTATTAAAAGACTTTGGTCTTATATTTTACATATTTCTCTGCCTAAATTAATAATAATAATAACGAATGAGAAAATTATATTTGGTTGTAACCGAATCTTTTATACCCATTAACGTCATTCTAAATCTATTTTATGGAGTGGGCGGAGCTGGTTTTTTTCCATTTCCAAAATAAACGTTTTTATCGCATTGACGTATGAGCGTTGCAGGCGTGGCCTTTTGAAAAGTTTACATACTTTCGAAATTCTTTGTAGACGATAACTTCATTTTACGCTAACGGGAGAATGTTTCCTACAGATACTGTATAGTTGGGCAAACGGACAGACGCAAATACTTACATAAATTGCGAATTCGAAACTGGACACGTATTTATATACTTTATGGGATTTTTGAACATCAACTTAATGAAAAAAAAAAAAAAGCAAAATTTTATACATTATTATATTAAGTTAAGGGCGTTGCCGATGTGTTTCCATTCTTATAGAAATACTACAACAGCCAACATAGAATATGCGATCAAATTTTTTTGTACATTTATCGGTTGTAGTTTATAAGTAATGAACAGAAAGTCATCCCTCTGTGTTGAAAAGTATTCTCAGTTCACGTGGTATTGTATGTGTCCTTTGACCGATTTGGCCCATTTTCAATACCGATCTGCGTGCAAAAACATCGAATTTTTGCTCCAAATTTGAAGTCGATTTTTTTTTATTTTTACGGCCAGGGGTATGCTTAAAAGAGATATTACACCGACGGACAGATGGACAGACGGATAGCGAATGTATTTCAAAAATTTTCATTATCAAATCTCTCTCCCCGATCCGATTCGATCGCGAATAGAATAGAAGAGAATAATTTAAATGGCGGCCAGAAGCATAGATCGCATGCTTGTTAAAATTTTTTCTTATTTTCTCATATGTACATTAGTACGTCTACATATAAGCAAAAAGTCATATGTTGATAAGTCGAAATTCCTGAATGATCTGAAGTAAGACGATTTGGCAAAATCAATGAAATCATCTTCGAAAGTTTTATTAAATTGTCCTACTGACTAAACGATTGGTAGATCAATATCTTATTTGGTTGCTTCTTTCATCGCTTATAGGAATTGGGCGTTAGGTCAGCAAGACTATCAGAGTGGCGAATACCACCAGACTTACAAGACTTAACCATCGATGAAGCGAGTGAATAAAAATGAAATAAAATAAATCTGTATATGAATTTTGAATTTATATAGAGTCGAATACTTAACGCTATGTTAGTCCCTCTGAATATATGCGAGAAAATTGACGGACGTATTGACGGATAATGAGACAAATTGCACCAATGGGCATAAGTTCGAGTCTTTTTCCTGGACATTTCTGATTCTCGTATACTGAAAGTGGAAAACCATTGCAGTGCACCTGTTACGTTGACTTGTGTGAAAATTCAAGTTGAAATTATTTACCATTTGCGGCATTTCACAACGATTTGATTGCATTTCACTTACGTATGCGAAAATGTATAAATGTGTTAAAGAATGGAAATTTTCACTTAGTTTTAAGGGAAATTATTTTAATTAACGCCTTAAAGAATTAATTAAATATTGAATATGTAAACTGATGGACTTGTTTACCTAATGTTTTCAAGGACAATAGTTTAGTAAACTGATGCACTGCGCTATAAAATCATTGAGGTTTCTTTGAGACGATACGATACGATAGTAACTTACGAAATGAATATGAAACGTGAACAAGAATAAATAGTTTTACACAACGCGTATAGTTTTCTGCTAAATAACTTGAATAAATAAATTAATCAAAAGTATTCCTTTCAAAGCAAACATACAACGGATAATGAAATAAATAGCATTGTTTTACTAACAAATGTTTGAATATATATATATATATATACATTTATGTTTACCGGTCGGTGCACTGTGGGAGTTTACGCCATATGTGCATTAGTATGTAATAAATTAATTTTGTTCTTTACATTATAAAAATAACTTTTTTACACAATTTTTTTCATTCACGAGCTGAATTCTGTTTATACAAACGTTTAGCATTTCTTGTAAAGGCATTTATTTTACATATATATATATATATATATATGTATGCATAACGTAAGTGAGTTGAGAAGGAGAATATTTTTTTTTAAATATTCCCTTAACACTAAACGTAAATGAAAATATGGAATTTAGTTGGACTTTCAATGTCCTATCACACAGAACATATTTATCATAGTGATTAACTGTGACATTAGTGAGTGAATTGAAAGCGAAAGATTTTTGATTTATTTTCAATTATTTTCATTTATTTCTATTTATTATATTTATTTAAAAATTGTATTACCCTCTGGAGACAATTCCATCCTTATCATGAACACAACTAATCAAGAGACAACATTAAGTAATGGTGAAATTCGCATTATCTCAGTGCAGCGAGATGACGACTATAGAGAACGCATGCTACGAAGTAATTATTCGCATCTCCTATCCTATCTTATCGACTGTATATTAAATGCTTCAATTTAACTAATTAATTATTTATAAATTTTATTCTTTTTATTAATCCGGCTTTTCATTGATGTGTTACGAAATCGTAGTAAAACGAATATGTAAGTGTTTGCAAAGAAAATTATTCAATAATTTACACTCTATAACTCCAATACACATATATGATTGTTAGATTGTTTTATGCACATTTGTAAGCATAAATATTGCAAACACAATTGATTATTAAACAGCCTAAGACCGACCGACCGACCGACTGACCTGTGTCAAGAGCCTAAAGTATGCACAAATGAAGACGCAATGAAAAGGTAGAGAAAACGACTACATACACCACTTCAGAGAGAGAATGCTTGAATGCTATATAACTTGAAATTATTTCCTTACGATTAGGAATATAAGGAGAAGTTTATCGGCATCATTTTCACTTTGCATTCGAACATTGGTTTTGATAGAGCGGAAAAATGCAGAAAATCGAAGTGAAGATCTGAACGTATCCTTACCATCTATCATTGCGTACTTGTTTAAGCGAGTATCGAAGTTTTTGTAAGACGTCCGAACCGGCAGACGGACGGAAACGCGAATGGGTAAAAAGGCAGTAACTGCTTACTGCTTGAGTGTTACAAACGAGATAATGGCCGTTGTTTTTTTCTTTTATATATATATATATTATATATAAGGATTTTTGGGAAATGCAAATTTTCGATTTTCGACGAAAAACTAAATGTGGAGAAGAAGAGAGTACATCGTGAATAATCTAAAAATTAAATTTGATTTCAAGACTGAACATACACATCGCAAATATTTGTTGTATTCTTAGATGAACGTTTCCTCTCGTTGACCTATTCTGAGTAATAGCGTAATTTTCGCGTTGCAAATTTTATTTAGACACAAGTTTCGAGAAAGAATTGGACATATTCAGCATGAAAATGTCAAGGTGGCAAGATTTGCCTTTAATAACTCCCAGATTTTTATTTATTTTTTTTTTCATTAGCTCACGTTTAGTGTAAGGTAATTGACAAATCACATCACTTACTGATTACATTTTCAGAATTTATCCAAGATTGAAGTCTTAATTTTTACGATTTACGATATGAATCGATTTACAGTTTCATACTAATTATCGATATTTATAGGATACCTTGGATGATTGTTAAAACAACGCCAGTAGCGATATGCATAGTATATATGCTTTGTACAGAATTTTCAATTCGAATTTTTAAATGTTACGAACCGTTAAGAAAATGAATGTATCTTGATCTTTTAAATACATAGTCGTGCACTATATATGTTATAATAGTTTGTATGTATAATGCGATGAGAAACTTAATGAAATTGCATTTATTTTGAGAGTGGAAGTGCACTAAAACAGTATTCGTATTTGCAGAGCATTCGAACAAGACCGAGAAAAAGTTTTAGACAGACACACGCATACACATAGCCAAGTGGAGTCACAATTGTACATAAGGGATGTTAGCAGATTTGCGAACGATTATTGTGTTATAAATTTTCGCGAAATAAATTAATTGATAGATGTTGTCCTCCTAAATGCACAAAATCTATCGCTTTGAAAAAACCGTTCTTCACGGCTAAGCGTTTTCAAAAATGTCTAAAATTGTCTAAAGAGAAAGCATTTGTTTTATTATTTTCGCCATTACTGCACAGTCTCCTTAAGGAGTGATACAATTAGTCAAACGCTTCTATAGCATTTCAGTAACCTTTTGTCAAGTTCCTCAAAATGCAATACAGTTTTTACATTGAGCCTAAAGCGTCCATTGAAATTTATTAACAGATAGTGGATCGTTAAGGCGAGGGCCAGCAAATCGATCGAACTTCTACTCAGACACCAATTTGTGACTCAATTTTTTTGTTTCTCTTGCTGTTGGCAAAAGCTCCACATAACGTAGAGCCAGCTTTCTCATATCGTATTTTTAATTTGATATCTGATAAATCTTTTCTTTGGAACGGTCTTCTGTCATTTCTCTAATTTTAATACCTCAGTCTTATAGCATAATTCTGTGTACTTGAGGGACATATTTTCATTGATGGTTCTTCTAGCCTTTTGGCCGTCACTACTAGTGTAGCTATTTAGCTACCCAGGATTTTACTGTGGTAAGCTATGATGCAGAGTCTTCGTACACAATGTTTGACTGATCTTTACTTTGTATATACCGATGTATTTCCTTTCAAAAATAGATATTTAATAATGAATTCGTTACTCAATTATTTTCGTTTTCATAAAAAACACACACATCACTTAAGCGATTGTCGAACAGCAATTGTGCGTCGAAAGGGCTAATATTTTGTTAGATACTTAACAGTGAAATTTTGTGAACACATACTGTCATCTTAATGCTTAGGTTGGGAACTACTCCGGCAACCTATATATATACATTATCTAAAATCTGCATAAATCAATTAAACGCTTGCTCATGAATTATTGTTACCGTTATTTTAGTAGAGTCGCAAAAGATCAAGTTTAAATCTGGTAGATGAGAAAAAATGTTAGGATTCATGTGCTCAGATATCAGATGCTAACAAAAAGATAATAATATTTGACTTAGGTTGAGCTTCCTTTTACTTGCTTATGATATGTGATTGCAAGACAAGAATATCGAATCAACACACTATTATAAGATTTGATAGCGCTATCTTATCGGTAATTTTATTTGAAAATTGAAAATTTCCATCTTTAGATATTCCATCTCATTTGTATATGGTTGCGTGGTAATGGTATACTGGCGCTTAAGCCCTATTAGCTAATTTTTGATTTTGCAATAGAAAGCTTATTTTGGGAACATTTCACATCGAACTGGGAAATAAAGCTCCTGCATTCTTGCACGCTATAGTTTATGCATTTAGATTGGAAACAACCTCATGGACCTTAATCCGAGGTGGTAAGATAAGAAGAAAACGTTCACATCCTCTTCTATTTAAAAGGCTTAATATAATTGTAAAAAATTTTCAAATTATGAATGTTCCAATCTAGACAAAACTATTATGTAATCATGAATATATTTTTCGTATATTTTTCAAAAATTCAATCTTCAATGCTTCGTTAATGCACTTCATTCAAATTTCTGTAACATATTTGCTGTGGAGGGATTTCTTGTACGCATATCCTTAGTGAAACCCATATGCAAAACGTTTCATATTTACAAAGTTCAAGCAAAAACAAATTATTCACAATCAATAAAATCAATTAAAGATCATTAGAATACTTTTTTTTAATATTTATTCTCTACTAACTATTCTCTAACTATTGACAAACAATTCGCTACTATTTGCATAGCATTCATTATATTTCTATAAATATCTGTCATTTTGCTATGTGCGTGTCTATGTAATAGCCTAGCTTTAAAATGCATATAAGTTCGTAAGTAATATGAATGGGAAATGTTCGTTTTCCGCAGATTTGCGTGGGCCAATCATGGAAAATGTTAAAAAAAGCAACTAAGAAAATTATATTCGGTTGTAACCGTATCTTTTCTACCCATCACCGTTATTCTAGAAAAATCAAGAAAAGTAAAGGAACATAATTTTCACGCCCTATAATATGGAGTGGGCGAGGCGGCTTCTTTCTCGCTTAAAAATAAAAGTTGTTATCAGATAGGCGTGCGGGCATGGTTAGAGTGTCCTTGGAAAAATTTTTAGGCGATATCTTCACGCTTCATGCTACAAAGTTACGCAAACAGACAGATGGACAGACGAACAGACGGACATGCTTAGATGCATTCCAAATTTGAAACCGGCCAAGAATTTGTATATTTTATGGGGTTTTTGAAGCTTGATTGTGTGCGTTCTAAAGGTGTTGGAAAAAAAAATTAAATTTTGATACACTATAATATTGGGTAGGCGTGGTGAATTTTATCCACTTTTGTCCAGGTACTGCAGCATCATTCCTATAATATGCATTCAAATTTTTTGTACATTTCTCTGTTATAGTTTATGAGTAATGAGCAAAAAAAAAAAAAATTTTTTTTTTTTTTCCTTTTTTTAAAAACAGAGGTGATCTCAGTTTACGTGGTGCTATGGGTGTGTCCCTTAAAATAATTTGGACCATTTTCAATATCAGCCTGTGTGCAAGAATGTTTCAATGTTTCTGTTCAATTTGAAGTCGATAGGTATGGCCAAGGGAATGTGTACAATAGAAATTACGCAGGTGGACAGACGGACATGCTTAAATCGATTTAAAATAATGATGATGATCAAGAATATTTATACTTTCTGAGTTGCGTGATTTTTCCGTCTGAGCGGTGCAAACGTTTCGCCGAAACGAGTACACCCCTCATTCTTCAGCGATGAGTTTAAAAGTAAACAAAGAAACGATTAAGATAATTTAAAATAACATTTGTTTTTTTTGGATATAATAAATGCATTCAATAATTTTGGCCATTTGTTCACAAAATTTGAATCAAAATAATTTGAATGCTTTTGTACAACATGTTACCATCTTCTCGGCAATATGGCGATCGTGTCGAAAGAACTTTCATTGGTTTGGCAGCGATGCTATCATTGTCGTCATTTTCGCACATCTTCAGTATTTTGAAACCGTTTGGCTGAACAAGTGCTTGTCAGAAGCCACTCATGTATGGTGAGTACGCTGAGTGCGGCATCCGTGCATCCTTCACAACTCTTCCAAGGTGTGGCCGAGTTGTGTCATTCAAGACGTTGGCTTAGCGTCTGTTAACCGCTATTGTTGATCTTTCTTGCAACAACACATTACATCGCTCAATTTGTCCAGTTGAGGTCGATAGATCTCGCTCGGTTTTGGCAGCTCGTAATACGCTACACGTTGCCGCTACCACAGCAAAACTTGATAGCCATGAATATTGCGCTTCGGTGTCGATGTGGATGGAGAGAGGATTGTGATAGTTGCCTCAATACATCACAGAAAACTGTTCTTCTTCGGATTGGCGTTTTTAGTCAATTCGTAAAGTAGCTAGTTTTTCTTCTTTTCGGACCCTTTCCTTCGCAAGTAGACATCTACAAACAATTGATTTATCAAATGCGAGGCTATTCGATAGTCCTTTGAGAATATGAGCTTGAGGTTTGGTTGGTCCTTCAAGCCTTTCGTTATCATTGATATCAGAATCGCGATTTTTAAAAGTTTGAAACCAGAGCCGACAATTGCAATATGATGGGCCAGCATCACCATAACTTTCTAAAAGTGTTTGATCGTCTGCTGATTTATTCAAATCGATGAACAAAAGTAATGAATGTCGAAAATGCAACTCTTAGCGTCTGTATGCAATGAATAACTCAATAATGCTAAATTGAAAAATGTTATTTTGGGTAAGGAAATGTCGAAATAATCGCATTTAAACGTTACATACATTGATATTTTGCATTAATTTATCAATTTTAACCTGTCGAAGAAGTCGCTGGCTTAAGTGAACGGAAGCACTTAATATTATCTGTATAATTAACGTTAGTATTATTAGGCCTGTAAAATAATTCTGACACCTCTTAGCCAATGTATTATAAATAATCATGAATATGTATGCGTGTGTCCAAGTTAATACATAAAATTTAATTGAAGTATGTGGTTACGTTTGAGTTTATTAGAAATTCACACGCTAAATCTACTGCTATGATTGAGTCTAAACAAAACAATATCTGTCAATTGGTGTACGTGTGCTTCGGTGAAAGGTCGCGCTTGTCTCTGCGCTATTAAAAAATAAAAAATAAAAATAAATAAAACCTAATAAAGCCGTTCTCTTTTCTCTAGAAGGCGCCATTTATTATTAATACCCGACTATTTGTGAATGCATGCACGTGCATGAATAGAGCAGTTTATGTATTAATAAAAAAAATTGTAAATTTCATATGAAAGCACTTTATTGATTTCCTTTACGGAAAAGTTCCGATTAACTAACTGCTTGTATTGAAATTAAAATGAGTTATGGTAGTGCTTCAAGTATTAAACCCATTGTTGGTAAATTAAGATATAAAAGAAATTTCTTCTTTTTTTTGTTTTTAATGATTTCAAGCAAATTTTTATTTTCAACGAACATTAGTCATCGGAATAAAATATGATTTTTTTTTGTATTTTTTCTTACATTTTCTAGCCGAATATGATGCGAATGATAAAGCACCAACTTTTGGTAAACTGTTACATTATTTGTCAATTGTTTTGGTAATACTTACGGCACCGATCAGTTTTTTCATGTGTTTCAAGGTTTCTATCTTATTACTTAAGTATTTATTATTGCAAAAATTTTAAATCATTTCTTCTTTTTTTTTTTTTTTTTTTTACAAAATGTTTTAATAGGTAGTCCAGGAATATGAAAGAGCAGTCATATTTCGTTTGGGTCGTTTATTACAGGGAGGCGCCCGTGGTCCTGGTAAGTAAATATTTAAATTAAAAACTAAAACAAAAGATGTTTGTCCTTCTGTCCTTTATTTCATATTTCATTTTTATATTCTCTCTTCATATGCAGGAATTTTCTTTATATTGCCATGCATTGATACCTATGCTCGCGTTGATTTACGAACACGTACTTATGATGTGCCACCGCAGGAGGTAAGAAAAAAAAAAAAAAGAAAAAATGAAAAGCCCAAGCTCTGCGGAGATTTTCCATTCCAATAGATATCTTTAGTAAAAAAAAAAAAAAAAAAAAAAAATAAAAAATAAAAACTAGGAGACCATCATTTAATCGATAAAACCATTTAGAAAATTTTACATTTGCTTTAAGACGAATTTGGGGATCATCTTTGAATTAAATAATTGCAGCGTGACGAACGATCGACATCTTGACATCTCTTTATTATATCAAATACGTCGATCAAGTAATACCGCTTCAAATATCGATTTTCTTGCGCCCTTATATTTAAAGTATGCACATGTCGCAAATAGCTCTTGTTTCGGTTTTATCATAATGACTTTAAGCTCATGAGAACATTTTGTAATTGATCAGCCTTGGTCATGATCGATCGGTTTTCGAGTAATCGCAGTATTTTTTTCCCTTTTTCGCATATCTCGAAAGATTGGGACGCGACAAATTTCTTCTGCCGATTCGTATTAAAACGTTCGATGACCATGGCGATTGCGGGGAACGTAAATTGGCGGGTTGGCGTAAACTTTGCAAACGTTGTTGAATTTTATGCTATTCCGTTATTAAAGACTAGGGTTTCGTTAGTAGCAATATGTAACGAATATTAAATAGAGACTAGAAAGTTCATATTAAACATAATATATACTAAGAAAATTGTATTAAATTTCGGACAGATAGGGTGGGATTCATTTCACTTGCCAGTCGATTTTCTGGTTAAGTGACTATGTCATATTTTCAACTTGAAGGTATAATATCATCTTCATCATGCTTAACAGGTTTTCTGGCACTTGAGCATTCATTCATCTTGCAACATTTTAAAAATGAAGTGATCAGTGTCTTTTCCGTTTGTCTATCCATCACTCTCTCCATCACATCAGCAGCATTGTTTTCTTGATTTTTAACCGTAAAGTTAAGTAGTACTGTATCTGTAATACGTAGCCATAGAGGAGAATATTTACGTTAAAATAAATGTGCAAACAGGTAAATGTAGGTAAATATGTTAAGCGCATATATATAATATATGTGGAATATTTGGATATTACTGGGATGTCATAAATGGAACGATAAACTTAGGATAACGTCTTTTAATGGTGACAATTTTAAAAATCACAAAATGCTATAAAACAGAAAATAGAAAATAAAAGCAATAATAACAAATTATGTGGCAATTCGTTGCTCGCTCTCTATCAGGTTTTAACTAAAGATAGTGTAACAGTTTCTGTTGATGCTGTGGTCTATTATCGTGTTTCGAATGCAACCGTTTCTGTGGCCAATGTGGAAAATGCTCATCATTCGACACGTTTATTGGCACAAACAACTTTACGTAATACGATGGGTACGCGCCATTTGCATGAGATACTCAGTGAGAGGCAAACAATTTCGGGCAATATGAGGGTATGTGAGTAAGACAACGAATAAATAAATAAATAAATAAACGAATAAACACTGAATAGTCCGATTAAGTATAGTATTCTTCTTCTTCCTATTACATTATTAGGTGCAACTGGATGAAGCCACCGATGCATGGGGCATTAAAGTTGAACGTGTTGAAATGTAAGTTTATATATGGAAAAAAAGAAAAAAAAAAAAAAAAAATTGAAAATAACAGCTATTTATATTATTATATATTAAATTTTGTATCCGCAAATGTTATTACATACACCACACGTACTTGGCACTGGTACTAATAATCTGCTAATTATGAGCTTATCAGTTAGTGTACTTAAGAGGCGCCGTCAGGCCGCTTTCGGATTTAACATAGAATATCCCAACAATTATAATTAACTTATTAACAAGCGGATCGATAAACGTTAGCTGCATGAATAGATTATCACATGCTAGTCAAAAATATTTCCGCAATATACATATGATATTATTTATCAATTATCTACACTATACTTGCCGTAAATTTGCGATGGTCCGTTTCGAATTTCGCTTTTATGCGAATTTCAAAATGGACACTTCCTGTTTACTATTTCCTTGTTTTATTCCTTTCGCGTGCGCTAAGTTAATATAAGTTTTTTTAAAATAGTAAAGATGTGCGTTTGCCAGTACAATTGCAACGAGCTATGGCCGCCGAAGCGGAAGCGGCCAGAGAAGCTCGCGCTAAGGTCATTGCAGCTGAGGGTGAACAAAAAGCTTCACGTGCATTACGTGAGGCCTCGGAAGTTATTGGTGATTCTCCAGCCGCCTTACAATTACGATATTTGCAGGTAATGGTTTTAAACGTTGTTGTTATGCCTCAATTATCAATATTAATATTATTCCCGTCTGTTTTGCGTACTTGTGCATACATTTTTCAGACGCTCAATACCATTTCAGCGGAAAAGAATTCTACTATTGTATTCCCTTTGCCCATTGATTTGCTGACTTACTTCATGAAAACCCATGAAGCAGCAACACTCTTTGGCAATAACAATCAACAACAACTTTCTGATATGCAGTCAAGCATGTAAACAGGATGCTAACGAAGCGCACCGTAGAATTTTATGTATTGCAATTTTATACAATACATACCATACCGTATATACGCATAAATACTTGCGAACATTGATTGAATTTTATAATAAAAAGAAAACCAAAAAAGGAAAAAAAAAAAAAAAAACCAAGTAAAAAATAGAAGCGAAGGGAAAAAACATTAAAGATATAAAATTAAATTGAATTCATATGACAGCCAAACAAATTTGAAAAAACTGAAAACAGAAAAATACCGGAAAATAGATAATAACGAGATACACAAAAACTATTTGTTCACAGGCATTGTCCTTGATTGATTGTATTGGCCTTTTAGGAAAACTCATAATTTTATCATAATGGATTTTTATTTTCTAATAGCTTTGCATTGTTTTGCAAAGACTCGTACACACACGCAAACACAAGCGCACACTATATAAGACTAAAATAAAGATCGCATTTTAATAGCTTTGAACTTGTAAATGCAATTTGTTTAACATTTCATTAAAGATTCGGTGATCGGTTTTGAATTTTCACATATTTATCGTCAGTAAGGCTGCGCAAAGCATATGCTTTGAATGTCCCAGATTAATATAAAATCTCAGAAGGTAGTAGCGTAGTACAAATGTTCTTATTATAACGACAATATTCCTAGACGTACTTATGAAGTATCTGTTGTTCGGCTATTCTAAGGATTCGGTTAAGAAAGTTCTTAACATCTATAATTTCATTATTTACTCGCTAATATTGAAGTTATTCACATCATTGGTGGACCAAGGCTTAAAATATTTCCCACATCATCATAGTAAATTTAATTTTATTTACATAGGATACGGTGTCAATATATGGATATATGGATATCAATCAATCATAATGCCCGCCCATCTTATACTGCGACACTATTACAAACTTAATAGGTGCACTAATAACTTCATTATATTAATGCATTCTTAACGAAAATATATTGCTTAACAAAATTACTTATATACGTTAGTTAGTCTATTAATAAGATGCGTTAAGTTTGTTTGTTTTTTCATAAAGCTAATCTGAAAAGATGTGAAATGCATTGACAAAAATGTTGACTATAAAGAGCAGAATAATTTATTACAGTTGCACTGCAAGCAAAGATAGCTCTGAAATTATTTAAAATTTAATACAAACACATATTAAAATCTTGCACATGTAAAAAGCTTTGCTTATTTTATGGTTGATAACATTGAAGATTGCGTTCTTGTGAATTGTATAGAAACCCCCATGACGTATGAGTGTTAAATTAATATTATTATATTGAATTTATAGCTAATACGTCACTAAGGGAAAACACATTTATCAAAATTTAAGTGTTTTCTCTTTTTTATACCCATCACAGACAGCAGGAAGAGTATATTCAATTTGTCAAGACGTTTGCAACGCCAAACATTAACTTTCTCTGAAAAGTATGCATGTGTATTATTGATTAGCATCAAACGTTGAATTGATTTAAGCATGTCCGTCTGTCCGTATATAATGTCTGTTGTTAACGTTCTCCTGGCCGCAGAAATTAAGCTAACGGTTTTAAATTTTTCAGAAACATTGCAAGTGCTTGGAGGTAGGTTGGTATTGGAAACAGGCCAAATTAGTCTAAGGACTCGCACGCAGCACCACGTAAACGGAGAACGCCTCTATTTTTCAAAAGGAATAAAAGTCAGTTTTGGCCTCATTAATCCTAAACTATAGCAGATAAATGTACAAAAATTTGTAGGCATATTGTATGGGTGATGCTCTAGCACCTGGGCATTTGTGGAAAAACTTTATCACGCCTACCCAAATTTAATAATCTAACAAAATTGAATTTTTTTTTCCCCATACCTTTATAACGCACAGAAGCAGACTGCAAAAGCCCTATATAAAGTATATACATTTTGGTCAGTTGCAAATTCGGAATGCAGCTAACCATGACGGTCAGTTCATATCTTAATTTGTCCGTTCGCATAACTGTGTAGCAGCTGTGGTAAACATTCTCCCGTTCGAAAAAGTTAAAATTTCGTCTACGAATTTTCAACAAAACTCATGAACACCTTTGATTTTTGTGCATTTCGTGCTTCTTACTCATAACACTATATAAAATTTTCAGTTTTTTTTCTGAAAATAGAAAAAAATCACCTACTCGACCGCCTTTCTTTTTTTAAGGCCACCGTGACGGGTATAAAAAATTCGGTCATGATCGAATATAATTTTTTTACTTGTTCTTCTTCTCACACATCTTTGGCAGTCGTCACGTTTGCCAATAGCTTCGAAAACAAATCTCATTTTTCATTTTAACACTTTGCCCAAGTCGTACGTACACGTAACCATAATGACAGATGTGTTTTCTTCTAAAGGCAATGTCTCAAGTCAAAATTGAAAAGGCATTGAAGAAAAATGAAATTTGAAAAAAAAAAATGCACTTATCGCGTATGCGTATGTGTATGCGATTATTAAACACTTCCTTCAAACACCTCTTGAATATGTATTCACTTTTTTAAGCAAGTAAGAAAATTATATTCGGTTACGACGGATTCTTTTGTACCCATCACCATTATCCTTATACAAGATTGCTAAAAAGTCATATATATATAAATAAATTTGCATATTCTATAATATTGAGTGGGCGTTACTCATTTTTGATATTCTTGTAGAATAATTTTGTGGAAATTTATACCCATAAAATATATACATATATATATATATATATATATATATATATTGTACTTTATGAGCAATAAGCAAAAGATACGGAAAGCAAAGGTGTTTGCAGTTTTGGCTGTATACAGGTGCGGGCGTTGTAGGCGGGTTCTTTGACTTGCTTGCATCGTTTGCTTCCTGTACCACAGATACTACACAGTTGTTTGACGAACAACAAATAAACGCATTAAGTGACGGACATGCTTCAATTGATTCCGAACAAAACTTCCTTTTGGGCGATGCAAACGTTTTGACAAAATGAATATATCTCTTATCCTTATAAAAACCGAAAATCTTTCATTTATTATTTGCTTTTCGTAGTCCCTATAAATGTTAAATTAAACGTTACCACAATGGCTAACTTGGAAAAGTTTAACAAAAAGCACATGTGTATTCATTTATTAATGAATTTAGTAAAGGAAATATTTTATAATACCTTACCTATCACTTGTGATAATGAAATAATAAGTGCGTGCGAATGTACGCAATGCTCAGAAGGACTAGAGATATAAATCATTTTTTATTATATCTTCTCGATTCAAAATAAGTTTTTAAATTGATTTAAGCTTGTCTGTCCGTCAACAGTTCGTCTTTCAATACGTCTTATTAAAAGAAATATATATAGTGTGGCAGGGTCCATCTACCTAAATATCCTACACCGTTTCGCTTAATACTGTCATTCGTATCAAGGACTTTTCAAAATGAGGTGTTGCGAGGAAAGTGTCTTCAATCGTGACAAGTAAAAGCACTATAATGGGTCCCAGATTATCCTATATCACCCTATAGTTATTCATATTCATATAACGTCCTTTCAAAATAATGCTTTACATTAGCAGTGTTCGCAAGAGTTAGTCCTATCCGAACCATTTTCAATGGCGTTCGTGCTTGCGCCAAGACACGTCGATGTACTGAATTGCATTGAAATATCTTGAAAATGACGATGGCGTAGGTTAAACAGAAGAATATTAAGACGGACAAGCGGACCGAAAGACAGACAGGCTTAAATGTTATAATATTAGATAGATTTAACTCAACTCCTTCTCGGTGGTGCATACGTCTGCACAAACTTATCATACCCATACACCTTACGGTGGTGTAGGGTAAAGATAACGATAGAAACAGTAATAATTGCTTTTCGCGATAGATTTTGCGTTTCACCTAAGCCGACCATTACTAATCCTGTTGCTCATAGTATTTAAATAATTCTGGCTTAAATGTGCTTACATTGAGTTGTATTGCACATCGGAGATGTGATTGTGTACAATGATAGTAAGTCAATAAAATGTAACATATTATTGTGACACATCACACTCACATTAGTATATATATATATATATTTCATAATTGAAAGACTGAACGTTGCTTTAAATAGGTTTCTCTAAGTCCTAAGTTCAAATTTATTTTCATTTGTAGAGTCGAGCTCTATGGCTTGGCTCTATGGTAAAAGCGCCAAGTGATTGGAAATTTAACACTTTATAGTATTTGCATCGCTTAAGAATAGGCTGCTTATTCGTAATTTTTCAATATTGGATTTTCTAAACATTTACATACACACCATCATATCTTTAGTTTTTTAAACGCTTTTGGTTCTCTCCAACGGTCCTCGTTGAATTGTTCTTTCAATGATCTTTACATCTTTAACCAAAAAGAAAATTACATCGAATATTAAAGTTTTATGTTGATATTTAAAATATAAAAAACACCATCGAAATAATGAGATTACACTACAATTGTTGTATTCATTGCCATTGGCAACTATTCGCATATCTCAACTATGGAGTAACATTACGCTAGTAGTGTAAGCTAAGCATAGTTACGATAATTTCACAATTTTACAATGCACTGACGAGCAATAACACAAACGACGAGATTATTAATCTCTTAATACCTGCGATCACATATGGGGACGTCTAGTTTTTTTAAACTATAACTACTACTCCTAAAAAAAAACAATAAAAAACCAAAAATTTATCTTCGGTTGGATTCCTCATCCGTAAAAATAAAAACAGAAATCTACTTTTATGAATTGCTTACTACATATACATATATTTGATTATTGTAAGAGTTGTTCCTTCACTACTATTCCATCGATTAAGTAAGTGTCTGTTATTTGATATGGCAGTGGAAGTCCGCTTATAAATTCTCAGTTTATAATTAAGTTTTGAAATTTAAAATTCGCCCGTTTAATAATGTTTAGTTGTATATATATATATGTATATCTGGTTAGATCATTAAGGCCGTTCGTAGGTTACTAAAAAAATTTTCAAAAAATCAAATTAGTTTTTATTGCCTTAACGGATGCCCTAAATAGTCAGGAATGATACAAGAAAAAAAAGAAATTTCGATAGAAAAAAAGTTTGATTGTTCGCACATATATTGTATGGCTATATGCGGGCCCTTAAAACTTTATATGCATTTTTCTCGCAGGGAGATTTTTGACAACGGCCTCTCAAAAAA